GTAAAACAAAAATATTTTCTTATTTTTTAACCATACATTCTCCATGAAATCTACTATTCCAAAATGCATTGTACACCAAAATTAGGGCTCAAGCAAGCTCATTCTAAAAATTATTTTTATAATTAAATAACAGTGCAAAAAATGTTCCAAACGATCAAATAAATACTATGAATTATTCAGATTTTGGATCCTGCCCCCATGAAAAATCATTCTATTAGTCTCCATTTTATTTCTCGTCTTGCAAGTTAATCACTAAACTTCAAAAATGAGCAAATGGATATCATCACCATTTCATTGTTATTACAATTTACACTTTTTAAGTTCTTATGGACATAAAATTGTCCATTAAAACCCAGTACATAAATGCAGGATCGCTGAATATTACACTATTCACATTGTATGGAGGCAAAAACTAAAAGAAAAATGAAAGAATCATCAAACAAATGGGTAAAGAAACTTCCAATTTACAGCTAAAACTAGAAATTCGATGGGATTGAATGATAATGAAAGGGTAAAAAACTAATTTTGTGATGCCTGCTAATTCCATTGAACACCAGTTAAGTTTATATATATATAAAATCAGAATTTAAGAAAATCAAATTCACATAAATTGAAAGAGTAGAAGGAACAAGATATATAACAGTAATCATTAAATATTAAATGAAAAGAACCCAATAAGGCATAATTTATTGCTGTAAATGAAATAAACTGAAAATAATAGTTGAAAATAAAAAGAACTAGTGAAAAAATAATGCAGCAGAAGATTAAAATAATGAAATCTAAAAAAAAAAAAAAAGATCAAACAAGCGTATAAAACTGAAAATTTAAGAAGAAGTTGTAATCTAAAGAACTGCAAGAAAATAGAAAAGTAGACCAAAAAAAAAAAAAAACTGAACCCAGATAAATATATTTAAGCAAGAAGCATGGAATAAAGAGAAAGGAAACAAAGTAGATGATGAAAATTTAATGCAAGTACCCATACATTTTTTATTTTTGATTTCCATTCAAGAACTGCTTGAACTATTTCCTTTGTTTATTGGTTTCTCGCCTCTCGCAACCCGTTCAAATAGGAGTGGGCACGGTCCGGTTTGGTTCGGTTCGGCCGAATATCAATGGGAATTTTAGAAATGGAACCATTGGTTCCATAGCTAACTGTGGAACCGAACCGAAACCGAACCAATCGGTTTCGATTCGGTCTGGTCCGGTTCTTTACATTGAAAATGTCAAAATAAAATGTTCACTAATAAAAACTCTAAAAATACTACGAAAATGATATTTTTAACAAAATATAGAAGAACCAAACATATTATTCAAAGATATATTTAGGTATAGGTATAGACGTACAAAGTGAAAACAAAATAAAAATTCTGCATCTTATAAATGAAATTATATATTGTAAATAAATTGATATATTCTAATTTTGCTTGAAAATCAATTAATCAAAGAATTATAAGAAGAGACAAGGAAAAAATCAAAGAGAATAAGGAAAGTGCTCGAGTCTAAAATTAAGAAGAAACCTGATTATTTTTTATAAAAGTGTTGGAGATTGAGTCATATATTTTATAAAAAAAAAAAATCCAATGAGAACCGTCTGGTTCTCGTGGTTCCCATACTAGAACCGGAACTAATCGATTTTTAAAAATTTGCCCCGAAGTCAAATTGTTTTTTAGAAGATCCGGAATCGAACCGGCCGGTTCTAAACGGTTCCGATCCGATTCCACCGGTTCTGAGAAAAGGTGCCCACTTCTAAGTTCAAATCACAGGAAAACAATCCTTAGAAATTAGGTATTTAAAATAAAAATAGGCCCCTAAATGTTTGGGCATGAGGCAAGGGCCTCACTTGCCCTTGCCTCGGCCCAAAACCGGCCATGGAGACCCTACCCCCATTCATAACAGTGTAACTACAATGTCATGTGCTTCTTAAATTTAAAAAGATGTGATAATGACCCTTCAAGATATCCTTTATACATCATCGATTTGTACCCACAAAAAATTAACGTTGCCGTGCAAGTTTCCAGTTTTATCTCGGTAAGAATAGACTTGTGAGGAAAGAGCATTTTCATATTAAATTTGACAATACAGTTTTTTCAATTCCTTATTTTTAAAAAGGTACTTTGTTTAATTTTCACCAAGATAAATGACTGTAAAAATCTTGGAGTTTCACTAACAAGCCAATAATATATGTAAGGGGGAAAATAATTCTGTCATACCTACGTGAGCCATATTGTTTTCTGTATCCATTTTTTTTAATTTAAAATAAATTTAAATAGCATCGTGATCTTAAAGACACAAGATCTACGCAATTTTGATTTTTGGATGGATCATATCGTGCTTACGCCTAATCTACAAGCATCGAGTTGCCAAGCGGGACATTTTTTTTACACCTATAATTGCAATGAATCCTCATGTTTCCTAAACAGGCTGAACTCGTAAAATTAGGGGCTATACGAAATCTGTATCAGGTTGGAGGTTCAATTGTTCAAAGGGTTGTGCTAAATGTACACAATTTTTCATTCATAAAGGTGTTAATACTATAACTCACACTCCTCTTATTCATTATTCTTCTTCTCCCATGACACCAGAAAAATTAACAAGAAAGTCATCGATCGATATCTATTAGTATCTAATTTTAGTTTATGGCTCGATTAATGGGGAATGCTTCAGCAAAATGCAATTACTCGTGTTTGCCTTGGTCCATAAATCAAAAGGAACGCGTCTACCGAGTATCAACGATAGTTACTTGAAAGCATCCGTGGAAACCCTCGAAAATCAACGGAGTATTATCACCGCAGCAGTCTTGTCAATTAACTACCCGTATGGCTGTTCACTTGGCTGCCACATACTGCTGGAAAAGATGAAGATAACAACTTCCTATATTAGTCCTAAGTTCACACTTGCAAGAGTGCAAATTTCCCGTTTTTTCTTGAATTAAAGTCATGCGAAGAAATAACTTAATTTGCTCAAATTTGACCAAATAATGTGACAAATGACAAGTAGGCATCTCTAGTCCTAAATCATGTCAAGAATGGAACTTTTCCACACGTTCATACTTCAATATAACCCCAAAAGGACCACACGGCCATGGCCTCGTTGATCACGATATTCTCCACTAGCCTCTGTCTAGTGAAAATTAAAATTAAAATTTTAATTCAAATCAAAGTCAATAATTAATTTTAATCACGTAATTTATGGGATCAATTACTTTTCAACAACATTAATCAATTTTCGATCAAAATATACTAAAAATCTAATTTTAATCCCTACCAAGCAAAGGCTAGATAAGATTTAAAATACGGTTATGACTCTTGCACTAAATATTATTCATCATAAAATTCTATATAACTTCATTCACACACGACTACGTGTACAAACAATTTTTACAGACACGTCTC